ATATTTCGAGTGCAGATAAACATCCTGAGAGTAACTTGAGAACGCTCCGCTATAGTTTTTTTTATCTTAAGTTTTTTGAAAGCTTTGGAAAAGCATAAGCAACGACCTATCTCCGAAACTAAAATGATTTTAGCATTCAAACTTTGAGGCATGAACTGCAAACTCTGAGCGTATCATGGGAGCACCCCACTATAGGTTTGAAATTTCGAATTTGAAAAAGCTTTATGTTAATTAAAGTATTGTTTTTAGAAATATATTTTTTAAAATCATAAGTCATATCTTGGAAACTAAAGAATTTCAGTAGTCATATTTTGAGGCAAGAATTGCACTCCCCGAGAGTACTCTGACAGCACCAAACTACAGAATAAGAATTTCAGCGTTTGTCAAGTATTTATATAAAATTGTAAGTTCATTGAAAACGTTTGAAAAAAAATCATACAAACATCTTATCTCGGAAACTAAAAGAAATTGTGCAGTCATATTTGGAGGCACGATTAACAATACCTGAGAGCACCCTGACAGCGCCCAATTAAAGAGGGGAATTTCAAATTTTGTGAAAATGTTTGGAAAAGCCACAAAAATCGTCCGATCTCGCAAACTGAAAGGATTTAGTTTTTCTAAATTGGCGGCCGAATTCGCGACCCCTGGGGGAACCCTGACAGCATCCCACTATTGGGTTGCTAATTTCAAGCTTGGTGAAATCAACTCTGAATTCAAACTGCAAAATCGAAAAAAAAAATTGTAACCATTGCAATGTACGTTATAGCTTAAACGTGAAAAAATTCTTTCGTTAAACGCGCAAAAATAATACTTGAAAAAGCTTAAACATGACAAAATAGTGAAGCCGGCATTTCAATATTTAATAATAGATATTACTCAACCCATTCCGATGGTTATTTGTACCAGATTTTGCGTGAAAACAAAAAACACACCTGATTACAAAGTTCCTCCCACTTTTCAATGGTCGGAACAGTAAGTCAACTATGCTGAAATATTAAAAGCTGACACCCAAGAAGCCGAAAACGATATAGTTCATGATTTAATCCGAAAAAATTCAAAAAACCTAACGAAACAATTTATACGATATCGCGTAACGTATACGATACGATTCATCATTCGCAAAACTCCTCAACCAAAGAGCTACAGTCGAAAGTCAGGAAGCCGAAAAAATGATAAGCAGCAAAAGAAATTAATTCCAAGTTCAATCGCTATACATCTACTGATTATAACCATATATATAACATTCCAGCAGGCTTCAATTGAGCGTTTAAAAACAGCACAGAAACGAAGTGACGAAGACCAATACGCTTTAAAAAATGAAAAATGTCAATACATACAACAAAAGTTTCGACCGTTTTTCGATACACGAACCTTCAGAACATCGGGCACGCTCTTTACATTAGGACTAAATCAGGAGATTCAGCGACGGTTACTGCTAATTCTTAATAAATGACCCATAATAGCTTCCAAATTTGTGTTTAAAGGAAAAACAGCTCCCGATTACAACATATTTGTTCTTGCAAACTCAAGTATGCATTTGTTTTACGCTTTAGGCATTACAGAGTTCACACATTCTGCGACTGACTGCGTGACTGTGTCCAGACACAATTGAAAAATTAAATATGCTCGACCTTCGCCGAAACTGCACGAAGTGGGAAAGATCTATGGCCTAGGTTTTCTTTTGATACGAGGATCCTTAGAAGAACCGATCCGAAATTTCGCTTTACGGAGTTAAATAGCTCAAGCAGAATAGAATCTATTCAACAGATAAACAGAGTCGCCACTACCAACATGGTTCTACAATTGTTTTCACCTCACCTTACTCAAACTATTATTACCTAATTATTTCAACTCAGTTTCAAGGTTTTCTCGCTATCCAAAACGCCAGAAAAAGTTCAATAAAAATCTCAATGTTTTTTTCTTTTTAGATTTACTTCGACAGCAGTTTGACGCGCAGGATTCTTGAAAACTGCACCTTGTCTGATACTTGATTCCAAGTTTTTTGCATTTTGTGAAAACAGCTCGCTGCCTAGATTTGGAACCGTGCCTGGACTTTTTAAGGGCCGTACCGGGCCCGGGCCTGACTTTCAAAAGAGTTCACACGTTTCACCGTTCAAGCCACAAACCCCCAGTAGGAGCGTGACTTCAGCAGGGCTGGGTCAGCCAAGCGTGCCCTCCTTTCTGCGGCAAAAGTCAGCCAAATTAAACTGCTAGGATCGGCTGCGGCCAATGGACTTATTAAACTTTGATTTTTTTGAAATTCACATTGGAATTTCAATTTACTTTTTTGTTAGAAAATTCGTGTTTTCAATAAAAATGGGACTAGGGCCTGAAACAACGGGACAGGGCCAAGCCAGGACCTCAAACTCATGCCCGGTTCCACCTCTGTTGGTGCCTGAATGACCACTTCTCAATACTTAATAATTTCCTTAATTCAATCGCAATATAACTATTAATGGGACAGTACAGAACAAGGAGATTGAGTTTAAAAAAATTCATCACAAACAGGTCCATGTTTAAACTCCATTTTTTTTTTCATTTTTAAAAATGCATGTTGTTTTGTGATACTTATTAAGATACCATTTTTCCATCGAATCTATTTATAGACTTTAAAAGCACATTCATTTGGTTGCTCTTTTTAAGGCTACTTTTTCTAAATTATCCAGCGACGAACGGACTAGTATATAATCCTATTTATAAAAAAAAGTGGATAAAATATTTGAATTTGATCAAGAAAAAATAACATTAACTATAAATACAATTATAACCTACAAGAGCCGCCGCTCAGATTACCTGCTAGATATTCATCCAGTACACAGCAAACATGATTTCGATTATTGATACTTTCTTTTTCTAGCAGACAAGGATCGCAAATTGTGTATTAAAAAATTAAATTTCGACCAAAAGGGGTCGTCAGCTCCGAGATTATTAATCAGGTAAATGAGACGTAAGCAGAATTAATTGAATAAATGAGTGATAACATCGCTACATGATTTAAGAAACATACGAATTGAAATCCCACAACAGAGAAAAGGAGTTAATGCTTCATAACAGAAGGACCGAACGACTAAGTCTTATTACCCAATCAAATTTCACCATTTACCAACGTGATGAAAACATGACAACTTAATCATGTTTTGAGCAACCAACCGATTAGGATTGCTTCAAACTTTTCGGCCTTTCGGACCTTCTGATACAAACATAGCCCAGAAAGGCAGGGATTGCAAAAAGCATACAAATTTTCAGCCTCACTGTGAATTTTTTTACAATCAATTTCAACTGGGCTACGATTACTTGTATACTTTTTGCTGAAAAACGATGTTGCCAGCTTGAACTTCAATTTAGATTTTCTATCCCTCACACCAATAAGAATACAATTGAAACTGTTGGCGTAAAATTCAATGAGCATTCTGCAATTTCCATTTCTTAAACTTCAAAAATCTATGAAGATGTCTGTCGCCATTTCATACGTTTTACTTACTTTCAAGTTAATTTTTATCGGCAAAGAAAGGCTTTCGCATCCAAAATTGCCACACAATAAACGTTGCCAACGACAGTTGGACAAGTGCCATCTCTTTTTAATGATTAATGATTAATTTGAGCTAACTTGATTAATTAGTTGTTTATCTAGGATCAACATAGTAAGGGCCTTGTGCCTAGCGTTGGTCCTAGGCGGACAAAAGTTTATTGATTATAAAATTGTATTGCTGTATACAGGGGCGGATCTAGGATTTTCTCTAGGGGGGGGGCGGATTTTCAAAAAAATTTCGAAAATTTTGACGACCTTTTTTTTTTTAGGTCGATCAGATTGATTTTCCGAGCTCTCCCAAAGCAGTAAAAAGACCCTGTTTTGGCCAAATTTTCTGCGCCGCAGGCAATTTTCTGAAAAAACAGGTCAAAAAAGTCGTTTTTGGGCACTTTTTGGAAAATTTTGACAAAAAAAACGCGTTTTTTTGGCGCGCGCTCCCCCTCAAAACTAGTATATATTGGCGCCGAAGGCGCCTTTAGAAAAATTTTAGGGTCGGTCGGCCAAAAATGGATTTCTTAAAAAGTACCAAAGGGGGGACCCTTTGGGTTGGCAGGGGTTCGAATCCCTGAGGGGGGGGGGGGGGGTTGGTGGCGTCCGCCCCCCCCCCCCTAAATCCGCCCCTGGCTGTATATGTCATTGATTAAGTCCGCTGGAATTTATTATTTAATTTAATTCAGCTCAAGAATCCTTTTTGATTGACATTTTTTTGATAAAGCTAACACAATTTGAGAGCTCTCGATCATTAGGTTTTTCCTTCCGCAATATCTAAAAACTAAAACGTACTTTTAGAACTGAAATTCAATCAATTTTTTGCGCCATTTTTATTTTTGTAAGAGAGAGCGCTTCTTACCTTCCTTTTGACAATTTGATTTGAACTTAAAAAGAAATCAAAAATTAAGCCGCGAAAGATCACATTTGAGCGGGTTACAACTTCAAAATATTTTTATTTTAGAAAACTAAGGATCACGACCTAAATAGGTGTCTTCATTTTGTTCATTGGCACTTTCAAAACCCGTGCGGCAAAATGTCGCGATTTTCAGAACCAAATCCATGACAACCAGTAATCACGTGCTCACCATTCGCAGATCAAATTGCAAATTTTCGGGCAAATAGAGTAGGCGACATCTTGGGATACAGTCAAATGGAAATAAACATATTTATTTTCGATAAAAGCATTAACAAGGTCATTTTCTTAAGAAATCGCATAAATCTGAGTACCGCTAATTGAACCTTAGATGTTTCAAAACATTCGTCGATGGCGGGTAGAGCAGCTTTTAGCATAAAATCTTTCAACAAAATTTTCAATCCTGAATATACGAGCTCGCTCATCAGTTAGATTTTCAGAGAACAGTATTTTAAATGCTCGGCAAGTCAAATGGACACCTTTTTCAAAAGCAGTATTAAGTAAATTGTTTTCTTTGCAGATCTTTTTATTTTTTATTCACTAAAAAATTCAACTTCGAGCGAGTAATTTGACGAATACTAATGATATCTATTGAGTATTGCATTGCAGGTGTGTATGATGCATAATAAACAGACAGATAGTGGCGCGCAAAACGTTGACGTCATTTCTGCCAACTCAAAACTAGAAAGAAGAAGTGGCAACTAAGTTAGATAGGGAGCGTTGAAAAGTTCTAGAAAGTTCGTTCTTGCCGTCGTCCAAAAGCGTGAACTAAATACCACCGATGAACTTGTTTGTTTGTCCACTTTCATTGCGAGTTTGTTCATCATGTTCGTCGAGCTGGGGAGTTGGTCGCTCCTCTGTTTCGTTTGCTCTTTTTCTTTCGTATTTTGAACAGACAGCAGTTGATTTCCGAGCCGGTGTAGTCTAAATTCGGATTTGTGGAAGGATTGTTCACAGTCGCTGAGTCATGTCGTTCCGGCGATGTCAGATTTCCTCCGTCTCCCGTACTATGTCTTCCCCCACCCGAAACATCCGTGTGACCTCCCCCTCCCCATGAGGGTCTATTATGCACCCCTAATTGACCAGTGCCGCCTGCATTCTGAGCCCCGGATGAAGGTTTTTGCCACTGTGAATTGTGACGCTCTCTAGCTCCTTGAGGAATAATCATTCCAGAGATGCTTTCCATGGACGCTGATGGCGAAGGAATCGGAATCTCGCTCCAGTCGAAAACAGAGTCATCTTCGTATCCCTGGCGCTTGTACAAGCCTTGGAACAGTTTGATCAAATACTGGTAGTCCGGAGTCTCGAAGAAGTCCAACTTTCTAACGTACCTCAAATAAGTCGCAAACTCCTCGCATTGATTTTCGCACAGGACATCAATGGGAGTGTTTCGCTTCGTCTCTCCGATTTTATGGTAGCGTTCCTTAAGTGTCTCTGCTTTCAATCCTTGCCAGGGTAAAGATCCTCGAAGAAAATACAGCAACATATGACCTAACGCTTCCAAGTCATCGCGACGACTTTGCTCCTTTCCCAAGTGTGTATTGATACTCATGTATCTAGCTGTTCCCGTGAGACTCTTGTGCTCTCTGTAGGGAATATGTTTGTTGGTCTCCGGATCAATGTACTCTTTGGCCAGACCGAAGTCTATTATGTGAATCAAGTTTTCCTTCTGGGTGCTTTTGCGGCCGATCAAAAAGTTCTCTGGCTTTATGTCGCGGTAGATTAGATGTTTCTCATGGAGATACTGTATTCTGGAAATTAACTGGATTGCAATCATTATGACTGTTTTGAGAGAGAACCTTCGATGACAGAGGTCAAACAGATCCTCCAGCGACTTGCCCAGCAGTTCTAGCACCATTGCGTTGTACTTGTTGCAGGGTCCGAAATAAAACACCTGTGGCACTCCTTCGTGGATCCCAAGTTGTTTGTAGTACCTGTATTCCAAATGAAGCTGAGGCGCTCTAGACTTCATCGGCTCCAACTTTATTGCAACTATCTCTTTCGTGTACATATTCATGCCTATTCTCAGCTCGCCAAAATTACCACAGCCTATTTTCTTTCCCACTCTATAATTCGGTCCCACCATCAACGGCCCGGTTGACCCTTGACTTCCTCCGGTCGAGCTTCCGGGGGTGGAGCCGGTGGTTCCGACATTGCCACGTGCAGTGCCTGGCCCTCTGTTTTGTGACGACGCTGATCTCCTGGTTCTGTCCTGTGATTGGCTACTGGCTGGTGGCACACCTTGAGTCATATTTTAAAAGGGGTGAAAGAGGACAGCTTGGGCCAAGTCGAGAATTTGTACTGAATAATTTCTGGTCTCATCCGAACTGAACCAAGAAATTCATTATGACCTGAAATGGACATCAATTTCAAGATTGACGAGAATCGTGCATCAAATCTAAGTTTACAATTCCAGTTTAACCATTGCCAAAATGAAACTCAAATAACACATTAATAGAGATCAATCAGTGAAACAAACCACCGCTACACTAATTGCATCGGCACAAGGTTCCGACCACAGATAATTTTGAAAATAATAAAAATTAGATTTTTTCTTCAAATTGTTGTTTGTTTGTGAGAGAACGGAGAGAGACTGAAAAAAGCTGAAGCGTAAAAATTTTAATGTCTACTGTTATTTTGAGAATTTTCATGCAGGAAAAGAGCTAACTGAAGCTCCAAAAACTAGTTCTTGCTGCAAAAAAAATAAAAACTATTTTTGTAGTTAAAATAATTCGCACCATTTTTTGTAGTTTAAATAACAGCTAATCTCTAGTCGCCCTTGACTCACTGAACTTTCCCACTGTTAAATTGGCTAAGCAAAATCAATTTTTTGTCTCATTTAAAATTAATTCTCCATTCATCGAGGATTGTGAATTCAAGAACAAGCAAGCACAGAATGTTCCGACACATTCATGAGAATACAAACAAAATTTCTTCTTTTCTTTAAATTTGGGTGTAGTTTTTTGTGCGCGGTGAGATGAGAACAGTAGAAAATTAATAATATAGGCATAATCGACAGCAGTGTATTCTAAAAATGAAATACAATCACAATTTTTTTTTTAATCTAAAATTTCTTTGTTTCCACATTAAAGTTTAAAAACATTTTTACTGCCAAAGATGTGCGAAATGAAGCTTAAAGAGCTGGTTCTCTATTTTCGGCTACATCTCGGATTCTATCTGTGACCTAGACATTATGATTATCACACACTAACCATTGATCCACGGACACTTATACATCACAAACACTGGCCACAAATAAAGCAGAGAACAGATGCTATGAAATTTCCAATGCTACAGATCGTGACTACAGCAAAAGTGCAACCAAATAACCAAACACTTTTATTTGCGAGTTAGCTTATATAAAAAAGAAGGTCTGTACTAATACACTAATGTTCGCAAGCTTGCTAGTGTAAATAAAAATTTTACTGCCAAAGAAGCGCTAAACTAAGCTTACAACGCTAGTTTTCTTATTAGTAAACTCAATCTTATTTTAGCCTAAGGACAAATTATTATACACATAGGCAAACCTGAGCTTTGCGCCAATCAATTGCGATATAAAAATGAATTACTATGATTAAAAGCAAATGCAAAAAAAAATCAAACATTGAAGAAAAAAACTTTAAAAAAATTATTTTGCCAGAACTTTTAAAATAAAAATTGCCATTACAAAAAATTCATGGAACAAAATTACCTGCACCATAAGAAACTTTACAAGGCGATTCGGAACCTTCGAAAAAAGCCGAACTGTTTTCAAAGTCATTTCTGCGAGACTAAACCGACAAACATAAGCAGAAAGAAAATAATTTGAAACAGCCGAAAAATTTCAGATAGCAAAAAACAGGTCCCAACTGGAATCGAACCGGTCCCGGGCTTTGTTGTCTCAAAGATATGTGCTATAGCAACTTGGGAGAAAGCTGACCCAAAATGAGTCGGGCTACGGGAACTAAGCCGAACAAAAATAAACAGACGGACGATGGTCCGAAACAGCGCAAAATTTCTAGTTTGCAAAAAAAACAGGTCCAGACTGGATTCAAACCACAATTCTTAGCCATCTCAAACAATTGTGCTAACTATTCCAGATTCGCTGTATGGTAGACTTTTCTGATCCTAACATACTGAAATTGAAGTCACTAAATAACAAATTGGCTCAATTACCGAAATTTACCGACCAATTTTTTTCGACACCTTTTTGGAACTTACGTAATAGCCGATGCAGTTTGCAAAAATAATGCCATAACAAACTGCCAGTAAAAAAATTAAAACCGTGTGCCTTTCAATGAAGTTTTTTCGCTCAGAGACTAGATTTGCTCTGCACAGAGGATAAGTTGTAACCCAACAAAATAGTCAATCAAAAAAAGGCTGAAGTCAAAAATTCAGAAACGAATTCAGTCATTCAGGTTCGAAGCAACAAGCTGTATATAAAAAGCGGTTGTAAATTAGCTACTTTAAATGGATTTTCTTTCTATGCAAATCGCAACCTTCCGAAAGAGCAGAGCTTGAAAATATTATTTGAAAACCCGCATCAAAGCTTGTGTTTCCGAAAAATTGTGCATTTTAGCTTGAAAAGCTATCAGAAAATGTATCATTTATGTTTGATTAAAAAGTACAATCACAAACTCTATGAAATCAGACCAAAGCCATTTTCTGCAAAAATTTGGACAAATTAAGATGTTCATTTTGATGATATCCTACGCTCTTTAGCAGCCTGGCTAACTATCGGTTTATTCGGTTTGATTTAAATAATTAGGATAAAAATGAGAAGGGTGAAGGACGAAAAAGTTTGAGAGGGGTGAAGGACGAAAGGGCGAATGGAGCCGGTACCGAAAAAAAAACAATAAAAAACGGTGTGATTTCAGATATGCCAACAAACTTTAAGTCGGACAGATTCGAAAACAACCTCAGATTAAAACCTTTTCAGTATTGATTTAGATTTTAACGAAATTCAGCGAGCTAAAGCATGCTGAAAAACAAAGGAATTTTTTCAAGCGACATGTCGCCATGCAAAATAAAACAGAGGCGAAAAGCTTCAATCTGCTTGCATTCAGAATGAATGACAAAGACCAAAAAATACATTGAATAGTCGGAAAATGTGAAATATATCTAATATTTGCAAAGTTGTTCCTACTGAATCAGATTTTTAATTCAACTTTGCGAAGTATAAAAAACGACACATTTCGACGTTTTAACGTAACGTATTTTTTATCGGTGCGTGTGAATGCAAAGAGAGTGGAGCTCTTTCCCCTCTGTTTTTACATAGTTCTTCTTGAATGTTTTTTTTTAAGTTCAAATCGTCTTTGTAGAAGCACTGATGGTTCGAAAAACCTGTCTCACCAGTTTAACGATGATTAAGGAATTATATGGAAAAAAAACAGCATGAACTAATTTTTTCAAACTTTTGTAATCAAATTGACTCATTCCTCATATTTGAGCCAAATTGTCAGAACATTTTGATAGACAATTGATAGCCTGAACGTAGCGCATGGATCAACAAAATAAACTTTCAACAAGCTTTGAGGACAGCTGATCCCTACAAACAGCTTTGGGGCCCGGTTCAATTTGAACTCCGCAAACATAACCGGAAACAAAAATGAGGAGAATGAAGGTGAAAAAGCAAAAATCATCAGAGCAAATTTGAATGAGAAAAAAAAACTGCAAAACAAAGACATCAGACAGTGTTAAGGGACTTTTCGAACTTTTATATTTTTTAGTCCCATCAACACAGACCAAGCGGAACTTCGTTTAACAAAAAAAATTCTACGGAGCCAAGCCAGCGTCTGTCGCCATATATGTGGTTGGAACCACTTTAAGTCTAGCGGTTTTCAAAAGCTCAGAGAGCACGACAAAGATTTTCACTATCAATCTAAGAATGAATCTTATATACTACCCCCTCATGGGACTAAAAACTTTAAGCTTACTCGCCAGCCCGCTACAAATCCCCCTCCAACAATAAACTCTCACCCAGTGATCACACCTCCCCTTGTAGCCTATCAAACTCTGACTTCGCGTCCGTAACGAGGTTTTTCAAAAACAAATTTAAAATTGAAAAATAGCACTTCCTCGCTTGGACCCAATTACTCAATTACTAAAAAGGTCCGTGTTCGAGAGGAAGGGACTCTTTCCAACCTTTTTATAATTCCCTTCTATAAGGAGAACTAGAAATAGTGAAAGACCGAATTTTAGGGGCGCAATGCGTACAACTAAAGGCCAGGAACCAAAATCTTTGTATCATAATTTTCTACACCACTCCCCAACCTAGCTGCCCCCAAAGACTTCAAAGCCTTTATTACAGCTTTTCTCATCTGATGAAAACAGAATCGTTCTCGGTGACGATAATGCCCTCTCCAATATCACCGAAGACCAACATGGGGCCAGACTCGGAGCAAAAATACTGAACTTACCTTTACCCCCACTAGACGAATATCATCAAACTGGGCTCCCATAGGATAGTTACATGTGAGCATCCTCGGGTCTTTCCCTATCCTCGGGTCTTTCCCTGGCCTCGCCGTCTATTTTATTAAATCTTCCAAGGCAAACAATTTTAAAGGTAAGCTTAGAGCATCTCCCAATATTAATTCCGATTATAAGTGCCGAAGATATACCGTTCGCCGCAAACTTTTTCTACTTTTAGGAAGGCAGACTAAAAATTTAACTAAAAAAATTGAGATTTCAGTGAAAAAACTGGCGCAGCACGGTGTACACGCCGCGGAACTGAACTTTATTGACACGATATTTGCTGCAGAATGTCGTCATATACCCGCTGGCCGTAATTGTTTTTAATTCTAGCCCTCAATGAGTTTATAAAGAAACTTGCTCACTAGAGAGATCATATCAGACTTTTCAACCCATCGGACCCTTTCTTAAATGTTTTATACAAAAAGATCACGGCCAAAACTTCTAAAGAAGAAAAGAGAAGGCGAGAATTCCTCCAGAATTTTAATCATCATACGTCCTCCAGTAAATTCTGGAAAGTGTCCCAATCATTAGATGGCAGCAAGTATCTGGTAGGAAACCATTCAATTACTTTTAATGACAAAATTTTTTTACGTGCAATATACTAATTGAAAACCCACTAAAGCAGAAAAAATCGAAAAGCAGCTAATGAGAAAAGCCCTCAAACTTAGAACCGAAGGCTCACTAAGTTTTATTCTTCTAAAATATGAGAATAACATCAATGCGGCAAAGCCCTTAAAAACATAACCGGATGGTCTATGCACCGACCGCCTAATGCACATCGGACCAATAGCCATAGCCTTTTTAACAGACATTAATCTTTTAAATTTCATTATTTCTTTCTCTTATTAAAATCCAGTACATTAGAGAAAATTCGTAAGTGGTACCCCAACCAAAACGAACATGTCATAGTTTCAAACTCCCTTGCACAGTGTAGATTTTAAGTCAACTGTCAAAAATGAAGAACTTTTAATCAATTCCACCCATACCAAACTTCAATATAATCAGCCATTGCACCATCCTGGATCTCCTTCATGGCACCAGCGTACCGAAAACCTACTTAAGAACTTTTCCCACTACCTGGGTGGACGTCAATCAAAAGTTATGTACAGGGACGCTTTGTCAGCACCTAGGATTGTTCGTAAAGGCGTCCCTCCAGACTCAGTCTAATCAACAACACTTTTCTTATTTTTACGTCGATGACGCTCCACTCTCGCCCCCAGATGTAACACTGCGCTCGTACGCAGATGAATTCCCGCCGTTTTCTAAGTCGAGCAATTACTTAACCGCCTCATCAATCTCATCCAATTCTCTAACTAAGTTGCACAAACTTTTCGGCTATGAGTGACTTGTTCTTTCTTATAAAAGTTCGGCCAGCTTTTTTTAAACAATGTCCCTAAGTTTCGCAGAACATTGTACGCGAACATCCTCAAAAGCTGCCCGCATGTTATCGATCATAAAGTCTCTATCCGGAACTTCTTGCCGCCAGTCAAAGAAACTTCACTGGTTACTCTAAAAGCATTGGTAAGATCAATTTAAGATTATCCGAGCCCTGCCAGGTCCCACGCTGCCAGAAAATTTTCTTTAAACAAACTACAAAACATCAAAATACTGCTCTCCGCGTGACAACAGGGTGCACAAAAATGAGCGCAAGGACACATTTACACTCGGAATGTAAACTTTTAAAAGTGGACCAAAACCATCAAATGGCGTCGCAGTTCGAGCTCAAGACTTTCGTTCTTTTCAATCCGCATTTTTTATCATCATTATCTCGAACACCAACGGAACATCCGCCCTTCGGTGCTTTAATTTCAAACCCTTGAAACGGACACTATCTTATCCGAAACTAAAACTCTTACGCCTTTCAAAAACTTTAGTGAACGAAGTTCTTCCAATTTTACCTATCTTAAATAGCTTCACAAACAAATACACACTTGAGTTAGACAGGCCATATCAGATGGAGGACCCACGAACGTTCTGCCCCGAAGACCGTATTAAAAATCCCAACCGAATAATCCCTCCCTCGTTCCACTGGGATCCCTCCCCGAGTTGAGATCTGGATATACCCATTTCTTCAATACGTACCTGAATCGAATTGACTCCAAAGCTCCCCGAAACGATCTAGATTGCTCTTCCGCATACCACTTTTCATCGTTTTAACTGTTCCCAGAACATTTTTTTTTACCGCAATAGACTTGTGGCTTCGTTGCGAAGTTTTTGAGGCTTTGTGTGGGCATGCCGGACACGTCCTCTCGAGGCTGAAAACAACAGCATCTTCGCACCATTTGCGATTTATCAAAAACATAGAATGGCAAGCTACCCGACCGAAAAAAAAATGGTTTTGAACAAATCAAAAGCACTCAACCAAAAATTTTGAACCTGTCTCATACTAATTTAATTTTGGAAAAACGCATTCAGAAAAAAAGAATTGTCAGCGGCAAACTAGCAATGAAACAAAATTAATGAATCAGTAACTAAGAGGCCAAAACTAAGACGATCGTTGAGCCGGAAAAATCGTCATAAAACATTTCGAGCAACAAAATGTTTCAAAACCCTCCTAAAAAAATTATCATCTCTTTGTAAACAACGCAATTTGAATTTAGAAACAAGTTTATAAATGAAAAATACTTGATCCCGCTTACAATTTCCATTGTAAAAATACTTGATTCCGAAAAATACTTGATTCTCATTTGATCCCGCTTACAATTTCCAAGCGTGAAAAGCTACTTTTTACATATCTTTGAATAAACGGTAGCGTTTTTGATACAATAGCGTCGTTCTTAGGGAAGTTTGGCTTGGCTGATAGACGTGTTTTCGTCAAACGAAAATCATAAGAGACAAATTATGAAATTATGCAATGTTTCATTTGTTTGGTATCGCAAGTGGTACGAAGCTCTGCTTCACCTCTGTGTTGTGTTTTCAAATTCATTCGCGAATGATTTTGAAAAAACAAGACAGAGGTGAAGCAGAGCTTCGTACCACTTGCGATACCAAACAAATGAAACATTGCATAATTCATCTCTTATGGTTCTCGTTTGACGAAAACACCTCTATCAGCCAAGCCAAACTTTCCTAAGAACGACGCTATATTATCTAATTATTCCGCTAAAACAAACCGAAACAATTTAGACCGAATAAGGCTTTCAAGAGAAAACAACGAAAGCAAACAAAGCAAATCCAGGGCTAGTAGTTGTACTGTATAAAGAAAAAACAAAAACACATGCAACTGCAATGAAAAAAAGCTAAAATCATTCGAAAACCCCTTTTTATCCAAAATTAAAGACCTAAATTCGACAACTGATGTGTCTTTACTTGAAATCGTCGGCTAAAAACCCAGGAATTTTTTTTGCATTTGTTATTAAAATCAGTTACCCAAAACACAAGACGGATTCATTAGCAAATTAATTTTATTTCTTTCTCATAACTAATAGACGACGAAAATGAGAAAACTGAACTTTCGGTCAAAATATAATGATTTACGTCAAAATGATTTATGTCAAAATTACCAAAAAAACTTTCTTCAAAATCTTAAAATTATGCGTAAACGTCTCACGCGTAAACGTTGAGGCCAAATGTAATGGACAAGTCAAGAAAGTTGATTTTATCAAATGATTCAAAGGATTTTGTTAACTTTTAGTTAAGTTAATAATCTGGAAAATAAACAGCGGGAAAAATCAAAACGCCAAAATAAAAAAAAACAATGTAAAATATCAAAAAAAAAAACAATAACTGAATGACTTAAAATTCATATGTTTCATTAACACTTACAAAATTACAATGACAACGGGGAACTATTTGAGCCTTTTCCGGTCAAGAATTGTCAGAGATCCAGATTCTGCATACTAGATGAAATTTCACTACATAGGTTAAGAAAAATAAGCGATATTCAAAAATTTTCAATTAAAAAACTGGTCGAAAACTGATCCAAGGCAGATTCATGAACTTCCAGCTCGCTTTTGCAAAAAAAAAAACATACAAGACACCTTTATAAAATCTTGCATCTAACAATTTTACTAGCATTTTTTACTAGCAGAGCACCTACAAAACTACAGCTTTCAGTAAAATCGCTTCTGCTAAATTAAATCACTATATGAATTGCTGCTCCCTTTAGTTAACTATCACAACCATGTCTACAAACTCTCATTAAACACTACGTTAGCTAATTGACAGAATCTCGTTTCTGTGCTTCAGAACTGTTACGATCTCATTGACGTATGACTCGAGTTGCTGATTATTGTTTGCTGATTGGAAGATTTGCAGTTTCATTCGTATTCTAATTCTTATTCAGCACAGTCTAAACATGTGACGTAAAAGCTACTATTTGCTATCAGTTACGCGAATGTTTTTTTATTTTTCAGTTGCGTTGACAGTTAAAAGCTTCGAAAAACAACAGGACGTTGAGAAAATTTATTCTGAATAAAGAAAATTAAGCTGATAAAAATAGAAAATAGGAGCACATTAGAGTTGGTTTGCTATTAGCACAAGCTAACAATGAAAATAACTACTAATAACATTTGTTTAATTGAAATAAACGGCTGACATGGATATCGTTGTTTTATTTTGAACGGATAGAAGACGGACTACTGGACGCAATAAATGAACAAAACAAGGAAAGTTAGGAGGAGACCAAGTAAAACTATCACACTCTCCCCATAAAAACAACATTTAAACGTTAGCCTCCTTCAGTTGTTCGGCCATAATCAGGACGAAACCCGATGTGCAACTAGTGCATTGATTAGCTGAACTTAAAACTGCGGAATAATAAAAAAAAAAACTTCTCTTGAGTTCATTCAGGATGGTATTTTCGTGTTCTCAGGGGAGCGTTAGATAGTAAACTTGATTCAAGTTTAGTGCATGTATGATAGTAGTGGGTGCCAGCTACCAGCATAAAGCGTCCTTAAACAGAACGTTTGATGGCTTCTGAAATGTAATATTTATATTACAGCTGATTAGGCTCAACGAAACATCAAATAAATCTAACTAATTTCTTTTATTTTACGACGGCAAGTGATAAGCTGAGAACATCTTCAAAATCCCATATGAGATGATTTTGGACGTTTTCTTTCTCAGCGTTCGGCTGAAGAAACATTTTAGGCTAATTTTTGTGGTCCGAAAGAAGGAATAAGTTTTAATCAAAATTAGACAAATCAAAACCATCAAAACGATCTACTGCAATCATAAGATGTGTAGTTGCTGCGCTAGCTGATTCTTGAACGAGGAATTTCAGAAAGTTGTTGACAGCATAAATTGACGATTTTTCGATAACTAATTGACAAAATATTTTCAGCAAATGCGCTTTAGCTCAACAGAAGAACCTAATGGTAGATAGTCCTATACTTGATTCGTGAATGGAAGCTCAGCGAATCCTGTTGTTTTCGGCCGTTGAGCTCTTCCTTCTGTTTTTTCTCTTCTTTTTGATCTTGAAGAGACAGCAGTTGATCTCCGAGTCAATCTCACCCCCATTTGGTCCACTGGGGTTGGTTCCTACCCTCGATCCATCAGTTCTCTGAGGAACCAACTTTGATTCACCGCGTGACGTTTCCGTGTTTCTTGGGGGTTGCTCATGAGGCTGATTATTTGGGTACTTTGAGGCCTGTCTCGGATCAAGAGGGAAGCCCGTTGCTGGTTTGTTAGGGGGGTAGCCCGAGCGGGGACGATTCGCAGGGAAATTTTCCTCGATGACAGAAGGACTCGGAGATGGTGTCTGAATAAGACTCCAGTCAAAAATCCTGTCATTTTCAAATCCTTTCCGGTCAAATAGGCGTTGAAACATGTTAATCAGATACTCGTAATCTGGAGTTTCGAAAAAATCGAGCTTTCTGACATACCTCAAGTATGTGGAAAACTCATCGCATTGGTTTTCGCATAAAACGTCAATAGGAGTATTTCGTTTAGTTTCTCCAATCTTTTGGTACCTTTCTTTTAATGTATCTGCTTTAAGACCCTGCCACGGCAGAGAGCCTCGAAGAAAGTACAGCATCATATGACCAAGTGCTTCCAAGTCATCTCGACGACTCTGCTCTTTTCCCAAGTGTGTATTGATACTCATGTACCTAGCGGTTCCTGTTAAACTCTTATGCTCGCGGTAAGGGATATGCTTGTTTGTTTCTCTATCCATGTACTCTTTGGCCAATCCAAAATCAATTATGTGGATTATGTGTTCTTTTTTGGAGCTCCTTCTCCCGACTAAAAAGTTTTCAGGTTTTATATCTCTGTAAATGAGGTGTTTTTCATGAACGAACTGAAGACGTTGGATGAGCTGAATAGCTATCATTAGCACTGTTTTCAAGGAAAATTTTCGATCGCACAAATCAAACATGTCTTCCAGAGATTTTCCGAGCAGATCCATAACGAGTGCTTGGTGCTGATTACATGGTCCAAAATAGTGAACACAGGGTAGTCCTTCGTAACTCCCCATCATTCTATAATAGCGATTTTCTAAATGAAGTTGAGGAGCACGAGATTTCCGATTCTCCAACTTGATCGCTACTGTTTCCTTCGTGTACAAGTTTACACCAATTCTCAATTCGCCAAAGTTTCCAGATCCTATTTTTTTTCCAACTCTGTAGTTGGGTCCAACCATCAATGGGCCGGATCCCGGGGCATTAGACCCTGCACTAGATCCTCGAGTATCTACCATTGTGATACGCTTGCTAGTAATTCATTTTGACTGAAAACTTCAGAAGGTGAAAAATTACATTAAACATGTCAACTAAATTTTTAATGGAAATCTCGTGCTTCATTCGCAAAACCAATTGATGAAAAAGCAAAAGGATATATATTTCTTTGGACCAAGTCACGGAGTGACGGAAGGGATTTATGGCACAGGGCGGAGATTTTGCACCCAGCTTTTTTTTGCATCTCAAAGAAAAATCGTAAAGCGTAACGGGTAGTATCATCCTAAAAATCTTTCAACAGAGATACGAATTCCAATGATAAAACGTCAGTCACTGGAATTCGTATTAAAAGACAAGTTTAATCGACGGAGAGATATAACTGCAATTAAAAATTTAATTTAAAAATGGAATGAAGTAGCACCAGCAGGGAGGGAAAAAGCACAGGAAAAGAAAAAAAAGAGATCCTCAAACTGCACAAGACTAGAAGGCTCGACTGATGACCATAGTGGCGTTTCCTCTCATGAGGCACACGGAGAAAGTTTTGGAGAAGGAGGCGCACTGATGCCAGAATGGGAGTATTGCCAGAATGGGAGGGTGCACTAAGACTCTTCATGTTAAAATGTTTGTTGTGTGAATCGGCCGAAACCTCTAGTCGCCTTCTGTTAAAATGCGGGTATTGCGTGAATCGGTGGGCTATCTTGAGCAAAAGTTTAGCTTGTTTTGTATGTTTACCTTGGGGACCTCATCAATCTTATTGTAAGAGAAGAATTGACAAAAAAAAAAGAATGAAAGACATAGAAAGTGGAGAAATCAAAGTCCTTCAATCAAAAGTAACTACGTAAAAGCATTAGAACCAAAGCATAGCTTTGTCGTGCGTGTGTGACATTCGACCAGAATGGCGCCAGAAGGCAACGAATTTTTATTATAACATCGGACTGGGAAGATTGACCGTTTTAGTGGATTAGCTGTACTAATTTGACAACTTGGCGAATTAGGAAAAATAATAATAGTAATAATAATAATAATAATAATAAACAAGAATTTAGAAAAAATAAATCCAAGGGAGTAAGCTCCCTTTCAGTTTTGGTCAAATCAAAAGTTTTAAAAGTTTAGTTTTCTAATGTTTTTACAGTTCATGCATCGGCAGTCAATTCTCCATAAGGGTTCCATAAGGGTTTCCATAATGATGAGCCATAACTTACAATAGGTACAACATATGACTTGTATGATTTTAATTTCATGGCCTTTGTTGTTATTTTGGAGATGTTTCTATTCACAGTGCATAATGCCTTCAGAGCTTTGGCAGATCTATTTGTAACATTTTCAGTCCAACTTAATGTGCTAGTGATTATAAGACCTAAATCTTTCATTTCTGCTGTTTCTTCAAGAACAGTTCCATTTACTTCAACTTTTGCATTTTCTTTCACACTGAGAATTTTGGTTTTTGACACATTTACTGCCATTGAATTCTTTACACACAAATTCCAAATTCTCTTCGCATCGATATTTAAAATTAATGGGTCATTTCAAACAATCTGTTATCGTCTTTGTAGCCAAAACTTGCTGACATTGCACAATCTGGTAGGTCATTTATATAGAGGATAAACATCAAAGGTCCGAGAATTGACCCCGGAGGCACACCACTGTGTACTGGTAATGGCTCGGATACTGCTTGTCCAATGCCAACGGTTTGATTTCTATCTGTTAGATAATTTTTTAGTAGCTTTAAACATTGTCCTGTGAAACCAAAGCTCCTAATTTTTCCAAGTATCATTGCGTGGTTCACCTCGTCGAATGCCTTTTGGAAATCTAGGTGGAGGCAAGCCAGGTAATTTGTTTCGATATTATCATAGTAAGTATATACTTCATGGAGATACTCAATGAGATTTGTAGCAGTAGATCGTTTTCGTCGGAAGCCGTGTTGTGAGTTTGAGATGCTGAATTTTACTGATGAAATCATTTTATCGAAAATTAATTTTTCTAACACCTTTGAGATAACCGTTAGCAGACTTATTGGTCGGTTGTTTGAGACAAGTTGCTTGTCTCCCTCTTTGAAGATAGGAACAATTTCGTTTATTTGGCTTTTTGATCATGTTAAGTAGCCAAGTTTATCACAGTTCAGTCATTAGATATGGGTTAAATGGGTTTTCATCAATGTATTGAGTTATTTTGTCCCAGTTTGCTTTCGAGAATGAGAATCCCTGGAAGCCATTGCGGTCATTCACTTCTTTTTCTCTGATGTAATCATTTTTGAAATTAAGTTGGGTTTTGCGTGGCAAGGAGGATGATCCGTTTTATACAAGGATGTGAGTCTATTGTCTTTTTTCATGAGAGTTAACAAATCTGGGTGGTTGCAGAGTATTACGTCGAGTTGTTCTTTTTCTTTTCCCGTTATCGTTTGTTCGAAGTTAAGTTCTGCAAGAGCGTCCAGGAAGGCCTGTTCGTCTTCCTCAGAGGAGATTAGGGTCGACCAGTCCGTTTGAGCAAAGTTGATGTCTCCAGTAATCATCACGTTTCTTACATTTAATTCTATTTGGTTTTGCCTAATAAAATACAGAAAACTCAATAGGTTGTTTGACGACCAGCGGTATTCGCTTCCTTTCGGGGCACAGTATATGCAAGCTATAATGACGAGGTTTTTTATCAAGAGCTTGACTATTAGGCAGTCATTGAAAGTTGAGGGTATGCAGTAGTGAGGTATTTCGTGGTTTATCCCAATTATAACACCTCCGTGGTTTGATTTGCCGTTAACGCTTTGCCTGTCATTCCTATGGATGCTAAATTTGTCAAGAAATATTGCTCCTGTCGTCACATTTTCAGTTAATCATGTCTCTGTTAGACAAATGATATCGTAGATTTTTTATATTGGTTGGCATTCGAGAAGATAGTTCTTCTAGAATGATCTAAGATGTTTCTGACTCGAATGGTCAGTTTGGCGTGACGTAATAAATTCGTTCCAAAATAAAGACACGTCAAGACCCTAAAATTTTGCTTTAACTTAATTGAGAGAAAATCAGAACGACGATTGTCGCGAATAGAACAAGACAGACAGATTTTCGTGAGAACGCAGCAATAGTAACGACTGAAATAACAATAGAAGCTGTCCGAATAGTAACGATTGTAACTGTACAATCGTTATTGAAAACTTCCCGAGAAACAGGATGGGTATTGGGACGACATTACCAGCCTTCCGGAGGGACGATAAGACCGCTCTTCGTTCGGATTCCAGAATCCGGAAGGGTCTAAGGGAGGAAACTAACTTCTTTTTATTAACTTTAAGCTTTCTGGAATGTCCTGAGTTGAATTCAATTAACATCGAATTCATTGTCAGAGTATGAATAGCAGGGAGTTGAGGGAAGGGGTTGATCAATCTCCGATGGATATGTTGATTTTTATTCACTGAACAATGACTACATCAATATAAAAAACAAGTAATAGCCCTGATTTTAGTAGTGACTTCGTGGTCTGGGGATACTGAGACCCAGCCATGAGCTCAATATTTTTACATGTAAGTAAGTTAATCTGAGCGTTCTGGCCGATAGCCCAAAACAGTAACGATTTTGTCGACCCGATGTTAGAAGGACCACACAAATATTTGGCTTTTGTAGAGACGGTTAAAAGCATTTAGAGCTGTGCCTAGACGCTAGCCAGTCGTTTTACAACCTAGCTTTTTTCCGTCGATATGTACTTCCGGTCGAATGTTACAGTGGCCTAGTAAAATACTCAATATATCGTCAGAATTTTTGGTTCCGTATAAGTTTTGATCTACAAAAAACCTGAGTATGAATGAAAAGAAAAGTGCACAAAATTGCTTTATATAGTTAACGAAATTCAAAAACTTCAAAAAACTTGAGAAAATATCAAAAACGAAACATTCGAACAGGAATAATTAGGTAATACTCGCCCGGAACTACATACCGAGCGAGAAAAACTAACTTATAAAACGGTTGGCTAGAGTTTCAACAGTCGTCTGCCTAAGTCACATATGAGGTTAAGAAGAATATGCCCTATAACCATTGGCTCAAGGGTCAGGGACACTATCTCTCGCGCTTTTATACCTCATTCAGTCGGAGCCAATTCGGTTCGCGTAAGATACGAGACTACAAAATCGTGTTACAGCTTAAAGGTCACTACGAAAATTCCCCCACTCATGGCTAGGTCTCTAATTACCTAAAACATGCGAACGTCATCAATAACAAGGTTGGAAGCTCTAATATACCATTTTTTTTATTGGACAGTGGACCTTCGATCCAGTTCAGATGGATCAACCTATGACTCACATTATCTCAACATAATCACATAAAATGCACTCAAGAAAATAAATTAAGTACTGTTATAGTGACACGACTTTAGAGTAAAGCAACTCTAGAAAGTTTTTGTAATAGATAGTTGTGAATCAAAAAGTTCAGTTTAATTAACCATTGGGCAGCGTGACTCGTCTGCCTGCCCAATCAAGATTTTTTCTCGCCCAGCGATGGTACTTTCTTAGGGCTTCGGGATGCTCTCTGTCAGGAACAAGACAGCTCTACTCGAATTGATGATTTCAGTAAAATTGCGAACGGCAATTTTACTCTGGTATGATTTTTTATCGACTTTCCCCCAATTCTGATTCAAGTTTTCTGATCACAATAACTTCTTATTTTTAGTTGATGCGAGAAACTTGAGCATGACATGATGGATTCGAATTTTTCAAAAAAAATTGTTTTCCCTAAAATCAAGGTTCAACTTCCAAATAATACTGACAGGCACAATCTAAATAGAGATGCTTTTTCAACCGTCTCTACACCAGCCAACTCAAGGAGGTTATCGTTAGATGGGGTTGACGAAATCATTTTTGCTTAAAGGCTATCAGCCGAGCCGCTCAAATTAACAAAATTGCATGAGAAAACAGTGAGCTCCTTGCTGGGTCTCAGTTTCCTCAGACGACGATGTCACTCCCAAAATTTGGGCTGTTATTTTATTACGATTTAGATACTATACTACTACTGTTTTTGTACAGTAGAGAAAATTACCTCAATCATCGGAGATGAATTGACACTTTCCCTCAACTCCCAGC